TCACGCGAGACACCCCATGTGGGATTGGGGCCTCATTGCAAGCATGAGTTATTACTCGCCCCGCATCCCGCCCCGCATCCCATCTTGTCCGGTCACTGTTTTGTCTTGTCCTAATTTTTTTTTCCCCCACTGAACATGCCTGTTTAAATCAATAATCTCATGAAAAGCAAGCCAAAAAAAGAAAAGTATAACGGAGAGAATTCATACATAAAGCGTATTATATACGGATAAGAAGAGATTAAGGAGACATAGGCTTTTCAATATATACTATCATCCTATTTTTTTAATCTTATATCTCATAATTCTAAGAGGTGCCTTATACATAAAGTGGATAAAGGGGCAAATTTACCCATTATAATATCAAAAAAGAGCACTAGGCACCATAATAAAATGTTAGGTGTAAAAATACACAAGAATATTTTAAAATAGATAAAAATACCATCTCCGTTAATTCTTCAAAACGTCCGTTATCTTTTATTTTTGTGGGCACTATACAATGTCCACGCATTTGACTCAATACCAGCTCACTCTCACCTTTTTTCTCTCTCCCTTTCCCCTAACACGTGATCCCTTCCCTACCAACATTGATTTCCTCCCAACACACTCTTTCTATCACCATTCTCTCTCTTCACAGTGTGTTCACAGATTCACTATTTCCCTATCCAAATCCACACTCATCAGGTCACCAGCAACCAGAGCTGTCAAAACGAAGGTGAGAAAGATACAATAAGAATGTATTATAACAACAACAACAACTGGAGTGATACCATCTCCGTTAATTCTTCTAAACGGCCGTTATCTTTTATTTTTGTGGGCACTATACAATGTCCATGTATTTGACTCAATACCAGCTCACTCTCACCCTTTTTCTCTCTCCCTCTCCCCTAGACCCCTTCCCTACCAACATTGATTTCCTCCCAACACACTCTTTCTATCACCATTCTCTCTCTTCACAATGTGTTCACAGATTCACTATTTCCCTATCTGAATCCACACTCATCAGGTCACCAGCAACCGGAGCTTTCGAAACGAAGGTGTGCAAGATACGATAAGAATGTATTACAACAACAACAACAATAATGAGAAGCTTGGTTCTCTGAGTTACAAGAGGAGATATGATGAATCTTTGGAATTTTCTTTTTTGTTTCTACATCGCAAAAGCTTGTCCAAGTTTAGTTTAAGATTCGTTTCACAATGCTTATCGTGTTTATCCCCCCGATTACCTATTGTCTTTATGGCACGCTGGGATGAGGTTTGCTCTGGTCACCTCCACTATTGGCGGTGGTGCCGCGGCCACACCAAAGCCACCTCAGGTGATCCTGAAACAAAGTGAAGTTTGCATTTTTGAGGTTGTATCCAAAGTATGGGTATGGGTTTACCATAAAAAGTGGAAAACTAGCCGATTTTGAATACCTTGACCGCCCTGATACCCTCGGCGTTTAGAGCTCTGTGGAGAGCTCTCATGACAGGTACTAAAAGCTTGACACAATGTCTCCGTTACGTGCTGTGACGATGATGGAGATGCCACTTTCGGCAAAAGCTTGCAGGATTTGAGGACTTGCATCAAAGATCTTAACACTGTGGATGGCTGTCTTGATCTTGAGGGAATTCACGACCGCTTACAATGACAGATTCGATGATGCCATAGTTATCACTGATGCAGAGGACGGTGGTAACGAGGTGGAGGAGAAAGATGAAGAAGACATCTGAGATTAGAGATGATGTAGCTGCGGTTTTGGTTTTTGGTTCGTTCTCCAATATTTGCTAGCACGTGATATTTGTTTTCCCCCTAGTCTTCTACCATCTTATTCTCCTAATCAAAATACATTGCATTTCATTAGTTACATATAACCCTCCATGTCCTCTCAATTGGTCATTTTCAAACTAACGATCAGCATAGGTCAATTTAATGGAAGTAGTATTTTTAGGCTCTTATTGAAACATAGGTAATTTTGGACTCATCATTTTATTATGGTGCTTAGTGCTCCTTTTAAATGTTACAATGGGCAAATTTGCCCCTTCGCCCTATATAGTATTGTGTTGTTTACATTGTTATTTCCTATATTTTGAAAATTCAAAGGCAAGAAAAAGTTGTCTTGATTTTTGGTCCAAATGTTTCCCACAAAAGTTATTATCTTTTAATTGACAAAAAATATCACTGTCCCACTTCTATGTATTCCCGTTGACTACCTTGGAGACTTTAAACAGTTACTTTATATTCTTGTATTGTTTACACTAGTTACTTTATCTTCTAGATGAAATCTGTATATCATATTACCAAGATACTAAAAACCCTGCCCATCTCTAAATTGGTCAAGGCAGTAGATTAAAAATTAGTGGGTCAGACCGGAGTGAAACTAAGGTCAAACTAATGAGGAATAAAAAAATTAAAAGTTAAATTAAATTCTCATCATACCATCTAAAAGACTAAATATCAATTTAGTATCTTGAATCTCTAACAAAATAATCATATACTTATATTTTCCTTTCAATTTTCTCTACAATTTTCTTGACAAATTGACATTATAGTATCATACTATTAAAATCACTAAATATTGATTCTAGCAAAATATCAAAATAGATTTATGGTAACAAAATATTTCTATCTTCAATCCTTTAGTCACTAAACTAATAATTTTTTTCGCATTAAAAGAACTTTTAAAAAAAAAGAAAAAGATATAACCAGGTCAACCCATCAAACTGGTTGGGTTAACATGGTTACATCGAGTCACCCCCTTGGGTTGACTCCATTGCCGGTTTTTGCCATTGATCAGGTGACCAGTTGGTTGGTTTTTGGTCTAGTTCGGTTTTTAATACTATGCATATTACACACTTGGATTATATGTTTTTAGTTTTAAAATTTATTGCAAAATTGCATTATCATCTTTTTATTACAACTCACATTTCTGTTATACTTTCCGTCAAGGGTTCAAACCTACGACCTTACACTAAAAACTAAAAACATTAAGTGATTTTACAAAAAAAAAAAGAAGAGGAATGTGTCTCGTGTCAACAAAGTTATAAGTGTTTGGATTAGCTTTTTTAAAATAATTTTATAAAGTCCAAAATAAATATGCGAGATAAATTGTCTCAACTTGTATAAAAATATTTTTTTGATTACTTATATGGGTTGCCAAATGGAAGACCTAGGCAACAAATGTATTAGCTTTTTCTATCAAATGCATAAGATAATTATTTGAATGAATGTGACTGTTTGAGACACCACATTTAGTGTTCGAAAGTGAGTCAAATATGATTGTTTTCTATAGTAGAATGCCTATGCTTAGTACAAAAAACAAAAAAGAATAAAAGAATTAAAAATGATAAAAAATGAAATTTGTGTTATACGATAATATTAGTGATTTTATTTTATTTTTTTTATTTTTTTTGCCTGAGATAAGATTCGGGATTGTTATCAGAGAAAAAACACGGTTGAAATATCACATCATCCAAAGAATATTTAAAAGAACAAAGTTCAACGAAGCAAGTAGTGAAGACTGGAGAGAGTGAACTCCCCCCCCCAAAAAAAAATGTCGTTTGCCGTGCCTTTTCCTATCTGAAGCTTCGCTGCATTTCACTTCCATGGCTTCTACGGTTCGTGGAAGGATTTAGTTTTTAATTGCATACTTTCTTCTATAGATTGTGTTGGTTATGTGAAACCTATATATAGCTAGTATAAAGTTCTCATCAAGCATTGGCAGAGGATGAACTATAATTAAAGTTCAAGTTATAATTTTAGGGAAATTTAGAGATGAATTATGACACTACCATATATTGAAAAGGAAAATAATAAATATTTCCTTAATTATTAGCTCAAGACTCATCCCACGTAAGTACATTACTTGCAAGAAGAGAGATATCACTCAGAAATGACTTCCAGTTAATGATTTTCTTCGTAAAGCATATGTTTACTAGGTCACAAAAGATTCGTACAAAAGTAAGTACAACATAAATAAATTAGGGTTAATACAATTTTTACTCTCTCAAATGTGTCTTCATTTTGGTTTTAGTTCTTCAAGTTTCCTTCCATCTAAAGCTTCGGTCCTTATAATTTTATAATAACTTGAATCATTGTGCCCTTGAGGAATTAAAGCTATTATTTAAAACTTGAGTAGACTAAAATTAAAATAAGTAACTTAAAGAAATAAAGATTGTATTAACCTAATAATTACATCGAATCAGAGTGGGAATAGTAGAAACGCAAATAAAGGTATGAGTATAAAAGTAAGAGCAGAAATGAAGTTAGACTTGCATTGTAATTTATCAATGATCGCGTGAGTTAATTTTTAAATTTGATGTACGCACAAACACCATGTGCGGCTATTTTTTGTGCAAGATATTTAATAACCACCAAGCTAAGCGTTGGGTTAATTAATAAGGATGGTACCTGTCCTGGTTTAGTGGAAAAAAGCCATTTAATATTGTTCTTCATCATAAAGTTGTTAAATATAGGGATAAAGCATAATGATTGTGGGGCTGTACTGTAATAATTATTCAACAACTTAGTGGTAGACTTGACTATGATGAGTTGGGTTGTTTCTGTGATGATAGATTCTGATATTTATTTGCTGTTAGAGATAATCCTCACGCCTTCATTCAGATCCACCGCTGCTCTACTCTCAGGTAATCTATTCAACTCTCTCTCTCTCGTTCAAATCTCTCAAACCTCTTAGTTCTTACTTGATCTCTCTCTCTCTCTCTCTCTCTCTCTCTCTCTCTGTGTAAATCTTTTTTCTCTCCTGTTACTGTTAGTTTTAACTCAGTCCAATTAGAAGAAAGTGAAACATCGAAAACTTTTTGAGCTTTTCCGAAGTTGCTTTTGGTATTCACACCCTGCATCGTTAATTAACTTCTCTCTGGTTACTGAGTCTATATATTCATCTGGATGGGTTGGTTAATTTGTGCCTTTAAGAGAGAGATCGAGAGAAAGAATGGTTTGATGTTTAATGAATCCGTATGACCGTATTCTAGGAATTAGATGATGGCGAGCTCGTTCGAGGCTGAATCACCAGAGAGACACAGCGCTTTTTGCTTGTTCTTGTCCACACATCGTATACACACGTAAATTTACTATCCTATACTCGTCTTCTTCGTTGTTCTAGGTCATGTTGATAAGTTAGAAAGATTGCTCCATACTTAATATGAAACCTAATGTAGTGTAATTTGTACTTCTTGTGGTTTTTTTTTTTTTTTTAAAGAGTCTTGATAAGTAAGTGAACTACACAGTTTAAGAGAACAATTAAAATTATAATTAAAAGTAATAAATATGTAAGAAATAAATTTTTTTTTAAGAATGCCCTTATTTATAAGGGGCAAGTAAGAAAGAGAAATATAGCAGTAATGAGTAAAAGTATGAAAGATAATATAATATGCCAATTGTCATTAAATGTTCAAACAATTTCCATTAGGATCTTATGAAAAGGACTAAAACAATTCAAATTTAAGGCTGTTATAAAAACGATCAGAAAAAATATTACAAAATGAGTATTATATTAAGAACCGAAGGAGTAAGTTCCAACTTTTGAATCATTTTCTGGTGTTGTTTTAATTAATTATTTTATATAAATTAAGAAAATTATTTAAAAAATTTAGATAAATCAATGTTATGTTTTATTTTAAACGAGATAAGGGGGAGTATTATTTCAATTTATGAACAATTTATTTCATCTTGTTTCAATTGAATATTAATTTTAGACAGCACCGCAGCAACTTCGCTTTTCTACTCCACTGCTTTTGTAATTCTGGGGAGAAAAAAGACGAGGAAGAAAAGGGCGGAGGCTCCTCTTCGGGCGCAATGTTCGCATGATCACGTCATGTTATAATAATGGCGCGGCTCCTGTAGACCTTTTTTTTGAATTAATATTGTCTTTCAAATTCATCCTCATTTTAATTTTGATCCTTCAAATTTCAAATTACAACTTTTACTCCTCAATTTTTTCTATTAAAGCTTGTCTTTTCCCCCTTTTTATGGAGTCTAGATATTTTTAACTGATCAGTAATAATAATGAAATGACACTTATTTTGAATTTGATATATACAATAATCTTAATATACAACAATCTAGAATTTCTGATTTTATTTTTTAAATAAATTTTGATTGGTCAACCCAATTCAAATAGGTATAGAAAAAATGCAGAATTTCTTAGGAATCCCATGTTCCTTATGGTAACTGGGTTCATGAATTATAGTCAACAAACAATACAAACTGCAAAGTACATTAGTCAAGGTTTCATGTTTACCTTGACCCACGCAAATCATTTACTTGTAACTATCCAATATCCTTGTGAAAAATTAATATTAGTCCATATGATTTAATAAAAGCCTAAATCATTTTGCCTTTTAAGGAAACAAAACCTATATTTAAAATTTAAGAGACTAAAACCAAAATTCGTGCAAGTTTGAGTAACCAAAGATTATATTAACCATTTTTAAGACACTTGTACCAAAAACAATTATCTAGATGCTTCCAAATTAGGTCAACATTCTAATCTTATTTCTCAAATGCATCTAGTATATTAATCTTATTTTCTTGATCCATTCAATACCCCAATATTATTTTTTAGTTATATCTGGTACTCTAATCTTTAGTTGCTAATTAAATGTACCTGAAAAATAAAATCAGGTGCTGGATATATCTTTACTCTTTTAATTATCCTGTAAAAAAACTACTTCTATGTTTTAAGTAATCATGTTCTATGTCTTAACCCCCCTATTTTATCATTTTTGAGTGAAGAATAATAAAATTGGTTTATTCAACATGCGCGTGCAGTGCGCATGTGCCGACATGTTTTGAAATTAAATATTATTTATTATTATTTTCAGTTGAGATTTTTCAAAAATATTACTTTTAATTACCTTTTTACATTCTAATAAATAATTCTGAATTTTAAGAATCTCCTCCTACTTACTAAATTTAAAATATTTTTATTCATAACAAGTTTAATTCATTTATAAATCAGAATAAATTTAGAAGTCTAGTATATATACTTGATGGTGCATATTATATATATATATATATATATATATATAAAGTAAAAGGTATAATTTTATTATTCAAAAGAATTTCCAGCCTGCTGTTGCATCTATACCATAAATAGAGAACTAGTTTTTATCTCTATGTTTCAAGGGTTTAGCAGAGCCAAAAACTCATTAACCAATCCTTGAGCAGTAAAATGGTGTTTTGTTCCTTACATGCCATAGCTAGCTCCAAGCATAACATAACCAAAGTTATCCTCAAAGGTTCACTTCAAAAAGGCGAACTAATTTTTGAAAGCACACATATACTGTGCTTTCTTGACAGGGAAATGGCCGTAGCAGATATAAGTTCTGTGACTATACCAGCACAGGAACTTCAGAGGGTTGCTTCAGCTCATTTCAGAAGGCCTAACCTTAATCTTATAGATCACACACGTATGATCTCTCATCTCTTTCTCTCTCTCTCTCTTTTTCCATCTATATGACAATGTTTCCATTAATTAACTTGTTTCAAAAGAGCGAAGAGATAAATATCAACGGTTTTGTGTTCCCCTTCACAAAGCAACACTGAAAGGTGATTGGAAAACAGCAAAGCGTATCTTAGATCAAGACCAGAGTCTAGCTTGCACTGCCATAGCCAAGGGGTGGTCGACGGTGCTTCATGTGGCTGCTGGATCGAACCATATTCACTTTGTGGATGAGCTAGTGAAGGAAGTGAATCCAGAAGACTTGGAATTGCAAGATGTGAATGGGAACACTGCATTCAGCATCGCTACACCAACTGGGAATCTGCAGATTGTTGAGATCATGAAGAGAAAAAACAAAGACCCATTGATAAGGGGCGCTCAAGGAACCACTTCTCTTCATGTGGCTGTTTTACAAGGACAAAGTGACATGGCTTGGCATCTTTATCCAGAAACTATTCAGGCTTTTCATGATTATACTGATTGGATAGTACTACTCTTCTGCTGGGTCAACAATGAAATCTAAGAACTAGAATATCACACATACATAAACAAAAACACAAGACTATAAAATTCGAAGTGTGATGCACATCATATATACCTTGTGTTAAACATGTATCAATCACATATATGACTTATTTTACATATTCATCTGTGCAGATTTAGCCTTGACGTGTCTAGAGATGCATCCAAATTTAGCTTTTGAGAGAGATGATTCAAACGAGACAATACTGCACATATTGGCTTGAAAGCCTTTAAGTTCTATTTGCCAAAGTCAACGATATAGAAAGCGGCTCATGAAGTCCTGTAAGCGTCCATGATCACAAATTACAAATAATATATAATTATGATATAGTGATTTTACTACATACAATAAATTCTATTGTGTTTCCCAGGTTTGAGGCAAACTCAGCAACTTCGACTAGTAAAATTTTTGTGGAGTATATTGCTTAAACATGATGATGTAGTGATTATGGACGACATACTACAAAAAAATTAACTTTCAGCGGCGACAAAAAATCGCCACTGAAAGTATAAAAGTCGCTGCTGAAAGTTTTCAGTGGTGACTTGTCGCCGCTGAAAGTTGTTGCCGTAATTACTGTGGTTGAAAACTTTTGGTAGTGACAAAAAAGATCGCCGCTAAAAGACACTTTCACCGACGACTTTTAGAAGTTTCAGTAGTGACATTTGTCACTGCTGAAAGCTAGTTTCGGTGACGACCTTATTGTCACTGCTGAGAGAACTTTTGGCAGCGACAAACTATCACCGCCAAAAGTGACTTTTAGTGGCAACTTTTTTGTCACCATTGAACGTGATGTTTAAGAAAAATTAGCTTTATTGACACCACGTCATCACTGTCGACGCCATGTCATCATTGGCCACCTCTACCTCATCGCTGCCAGTTGCCACATCATCACCAACCAGATGCCATGTCACCACTAGCCACCTCCATGTCATTGTTAGCCGCCTCCACATCATTGCCACATCACCACTCTCATGACACATCACCGCCCAAATATTTTTACCTTAAATGTGTCTTCTTCAGGGTTCGAACTTGTAACCACCTCTTTTTTGTGTCTAATCATCTTGCCATTGAGCTGGATTGAATTTGTTTATTATTATTATAAAATAAAATATATATTATTAGATTGTACTTTCAACGGCGACATTAGAAAGTCGCTGCTGAAAGTCAGACCTTTAGTGGATACATTAGAAAGCCGTCGATAAAAGCCAAACCTTCAGTGGTGACATTAGAAAGTCGCCACTGAAAGTTAGACCTTCAACGGTTACACTAATAGTCACCGCTAAAGGTATACTTTCAGCGGCGCCTCTAAAAATTCACCGCTAAAAGTATACCTTTTAGTAGTGAAAAAAAAAAACCGCAAAAAGTAGACCTTTAGCAGTAACAAAAAAAGTTACCGCTGAAAGTCCACTTGTTGTGGTTTTTTTTCCACTGCTGAAAGGTATGTGACTTTTTAGTGTCACCACTAAAAGTAAACCTTCAATGGTGACACTAAATTCAATACTCTATGGGAGAAAAAAAATCAAACTAGACTTATCTCAAGCCAATTTGTACAGTTTAATCCATGAAAATCACTATTTATTTGGTAAATTCTGGAACTTTCAGTTTTCTTGGCTCAACTTTGGAAATTTGTATCTCTTAGTATACACATCCTTCCTTTAACCCCTCAGAGTACACATTTGGAAGTGTTACGGTTCAAGCGCTTCACGAACCAAGCTCGTAGATTGAAGATTTGCAATTAGTTCTTGGGTTACTGTTCACTGGTTAAATTCCAGATTTTTGGTCTAATTTTGAAAAATCATGACTACTTCTATAAAAATCGTATTGAGGTACTCCAAAATTCTACTTGAATCTCTTTCAATTCTCTACAAGAGGAAAAAAATCAAACTAGACTTATCTCAAGCCAATTCGTACAGTTTAATCCATGAAAATCACATAAGAGTACCTTCACCTGTAATATCTAATGCCGTAGAAGTTGGAAATTTTGAGTTTCTAGCTGAGCTTATAAGTACCTATCCTGATTTAATAAGGGAAGTTGATGGAAGAAATCGAAGCATAATTCATGTTGCAGTTTTGTGTCGTTAATCTGATATCTTCAATCTCATACATGATATTGGCCCGATCAAAGATTTCATAGTTTGTTTTGAGGATACTAGATATAAAGACAACTTATTGTATATGGCAGCAAGATTGGCACCACCTCATTGATTAAACGTAGTTTTTGGAACAACTTTCCAAATGACTCTTTAGTTACTGTGGTTTGAGGTATTGTATGTTATAAAAAATACTTGAGTAGGTTGTATATTATAGTAGAGGAATAAACTACTGACTTGTGATAATATTACAATTTGTTATAAAGTTTATATATTCTATAGTGATATTGATAGCATATTATACTCTTTGACATGGCAAGAGGTGGAGAAGATAATGCTACCGTCATATATACAGAAGAAAAATACAATATGCTTGACTCCTCGCCAACTTTTCACAAAGGAGCACAAAGACTTGCTAAAAGAAGCATAATCATGGATGAAGGAAACATCAAAAAAATGCATGGTTGTTTCAACTCTTATTACTACTGGAGTGTTTACAGCTGTATTTAGTATACCTGGTGGTATCAATGACAGTTCAGGAAACCCTAATTATTTGCAGAAACCATCATTCTTGATATTTGCCATATCTGATGCGACTACAATGATCTCATCCTCAACTTCCATACTTATTTTCTTGTCTATCCTCTTCCCACGTTATGCATAAGATACTTTTCGCAAGTCATTACCCTTGAAGCTCATATCTGGATTGGTTGCTTTGTTCATCTCTATAATAAGTATGATGATAGCATTTAGTAGTGCCTTTTTCATCATGCATTGTCATGGTTCAAAGTGGGTTCCTAACTTTATTTCTGCACTTGCTTTTATACCTATACCCTTGTTTGTGTTTCTATTATTCCCACTCTAGTCTGATATAGTTTATTCGACCTACTTTTGTAGGAATCTTTTTCGGCCTACTAAACATATGCTTTACTAGCTAGGAAAATAAGTGGTCGTCATTTCTAAGAGATCTATCTCTCTTCTAGTAACTAAGTAAAGTACTTATGTAGTGTGAGTCTTGAGTTTATCAGGAAATTTCCTTTTCATCAATATGGTAATGTTTAATTCATCTCTAAACTTTAATTTATAATTTTTACTTTAGTTTATACTTTGTCAATGCTTGATGAAAACTCTATACTAGCTATATATTTGTCACATAATCAACACCGTCTGTAGAAGAATCCATGCATAAACATATGCTGTAGAGTTTGTATATAATACAAGCTTCTTATCTTAATTAAATGTAGGAGCCAGTTGAGAGATTCATTTTAATCCTAAATATAAGATTTCAATTCAATTTGTCTTTTAATTTATAATTTTTCCTAAATTATCAATATTAAAAGTGGATTTCCATCGATGCAAGTATTTTTAGTGCGGCTGTGTATCGTAAGAAAATTAACAAATATTCCTTTATAAATAACTAATTAATTAATCTTTTGTAAGTTAGTTACCTAACCTCTACATTTAAGGCCGGAGGAAGTAACCAATTAGTGTAAACGATCCAAGCACAAAAGTCTCTTTTCTCAGAGATAAATAGCAGCGACAATACGTGAAAGCCTTGAGAATTCACTGGCCTATGGAGGTGCATGTAAATCCTTTATCACTTCATGATTACATATTTCTCTATATTCCAGGTTGCAATATGCCTGACACTGTCCATGTCACTTTTCTCACCTACATATACTCATGGGCAGCAAAGAAACAGATTAAGACTTTTAATTTTAAGGATGCTTTTATCTTAAAAATATGGTTAAATAATTGAATAAAGGCCTCAATTCATTCTGTATTTTCTTTGTGGATTGGATTCGATTTAAACAATATTTCAAATTGAGAATAGTAATGAGAAGTTTGGAAAAGTGAAAAAAGGAAAAATATAAGATTAATATAGGAAAGAAATTTAATAACTTAGTATAAATATAAAAATCATTAAATTTTAATATAGAGGACTTGCTTTAAATATATATATGTGTGCAAAACCCGAATATAATTTGTTCTTTTTTTAAAACTGTGGTCGTAGGATGTCATTTGCACTTTTTAAAAAGTTATATATCACTTACGTTCTTTAAAAGTATGATGCAGTCTTTTCTTTTTTCCATTCTTTTTCCAGGCGAGGTGAGTTTTAGGTGATAAAAAAAACAAAAAGAGGTAGAATTTATAACTAGATGATAAAAAAAGGCTTACATACATACTTACAAGTTATTTTTATGAACAATAGTGTCTTGATAATGGTAGATTTAAATTCTTCCCTTTAAATGGTATGAGTCGCATGCTTAACAAGTAGATAAAAACATGTTATTTTGAATATAAACAGATACATTGATTTTAAGGAAAATTAACTTACAAGTCCTTATAATTTACCTCAACTAAGTCTATGTAATTTTCTTTGTGTGAATTGGGTTCTTATAGTTTGATTCGTTACGCACATATGTGTGTGTATATCCCATCCCTGAGTAATGTATAAACCATCAATTTGAATCTATAAAATTTCACGGACTCTTTATGAAATCTATTTTATTTGTCCCACTCTGATTTTTTAAAATACATGCATTTTTTGGAAATAAAATTTTATAAAATCAATAGATTAAAATGAACAGATCAAACAATGAGGTAAACTATAAAGACTAGCTGATGATGCTTTTCGATTATTTAATGATGTATAAGAAAATAAAGATACACATAGTGTCAGAGTATAAGTACTAAAAGTTATTACATTTCTTTTTCATGTTTTCATGTGAGAAGTGAGCATCATTGTCACAAATTTGGAGCATGTAGGAAGGATCGAGGAAGGAAGAGGAATATGAAGGTTCAAATGAGCACGTTCCACATTAATAATTCTGTATAACTTTTGAAAGTGGAGGACCAAGACTTTTGAGGGTGATCATGAGGACCGTTGATTGTAGCTATACATTTATTTT